AGCTGTTAGACCATCAGCCCATGGACCAAAGAGTCATGGGTTCAATCCCTGATCAAGGGGATGTACCTTGGTTGTGGGTTTGATCTCCTGCCCCAGTTGAGGCCAGGCTGGAGGTAACCAATCAATGTGTCTCTTACATGGATGTTTCTCTCTCTCTCTCTCTCTCTCTCTCTCTCTCTCTCTCTCTCTCTCTCTCCCCTCCCTCCCTCCCTCTCTCCCTCCCTCCCTCCCACTCTATCTGAAGATTAATGGAAAAATATCCTTGGGTGAGGATTTAAAAAAAAAAAAAAAAATGGGCAAAGTGCCCAGACACTTCTCCAAAGAGAACATACAGATGGCCAATAGATATATGAAAAAATGCTCAATGTCACCAATCATCATCAGAGAGATGCAAATTAAAATGACTGTGAGATATCACCTCACACCTGTCAGAATGGCCACCATCAACAAATCATCAAACAACAAGTGCTGGCAAGGGTGTGGAGAAAAGGGAACTCTAGAGCACTGTTTGTGGGAATGCAGACTGGTGCAGCCACTGTGGAAAGCAGTATGCAGTTTCCTCAAAAAATTAAAAATGAAATTGCCTTTTGACCCTGAGATTGTACTCCTGGGAATATATCCTAAGAAGCCTGAAATATCAATTAGAAAGAATATGTGAACCCCTATGTTCATAGCAGCACTATTTACAATCGCTAAGATCTGGAAACAGCCCAAGTGCCCATCGGTAGATGAATGGATAAAAAAGCTGTGGTACATATACACAATGGAATACTATGCAGCTGTAAAAAAGAAGGAAACCTTACCTTTTGTGACAGCATAGATGGAGCTGGGAATTAATAAACTAAGAGAAAATAGCCAGTCAGAGAAAGACACATACCATATGATCTCACTTATAGGTGGAATCTAATGAACAAAATAAACTGATGAACAGAACAGAACCAGCAACATAGAAGCAGGGAAGAGACTGACAGAGCTCAAAGGGGAGAGTGTGGGCAGACAGGATGAAGGAAGGTGAAGAGAAGAGCCAAAAAACATATATGCATAGTCCATGGACACTGACAATGGCATGGTGAAGGTCAGAGGGAGGGGAGGGCAGGGTCTGGGTGGAGGTGGGCAAAGGGGTGAATAGGGGACATCTGTAATAGTGTCAACAATGAAAATAAAATAAAAACACTGTTTTGGAGGCAATAAAAAATCTAATAAGAGAAAACGTCAAACCATGATCCTGTGGTCTCTTTGCCTTCTGCCCAGTGGCCTGTCGGCGCTGATTGACAGCGCTAAGAACAGTTTCCAGTGTGCACCCTGGGGCGGAGTAGGGAGCGGGTGGGGCCCGGACTGCCTGCCGCTTTCTCCTTAGCAGGGTGCATGGCTGATGGCACTGGAGAGCAGTGGTTCTCAACCTGTGGGTCACGACCCCTTTGGGGGTTGAATGACCCTTTCACGGGGGTCACCTAAGACATAACAGTAGCAAAATAACAGTTATGAAGTAGCAATGAAGATAATTGTATGGTTCGGGGTCCCCACAACATGAGGAACTGTATCAAACGGTGGCAGCATGAGGAAGGCTGAGAACCACCGACAGGCTTCGCAAAGATGAGCACCCAGAAGTGGCTCCTGGCGAACCCCTCCCTGGAGAGGACGGACCCTTCCCCTTATCTCGGCTGTCACTGCAGCACTCTCTCCTCTGGAGCGTGAGATGGAACCCCAGAACCAGGTCACCTTCCCTGCTCCCAGGATCCATTATGACCCCACGCGGGAGGCAGTTAACAAACACCGGGCATGTGCGAGACTGGGGTGGACAGCAGTGGGTGGGCAGAACAGACTGTCCTCAGAGCTTAAATTCTGATCAGAAGGAAAAATGAGTGTATTTTGTAATGGGCTTTAGATATGGCCAAGTGCAACCAAGAAAATGAAGCAGTGCGGTGACGCGTGGGTGGAGTGGCTGGGCGGAAGGGTCTGTCGGGAAGAGGGACTCCAAACGCAGTGTTTGGATGTGGCGCGGTCATCGGTGACAGCGAGCATCTGGGGTCTGACTGCGAGATTTGATCGCTGAGACATGACGGGAGACATAACGGGCTTGGCTGGTATGGTAGAGGCCAGGGCCCGAAGGAACCGTCCGCCTGGGTGTCACGGGCCAGGAAGGCGGACAGGAGCGGTGGTGGCCAGGTGCTAACCTAGACGACAGCAAGAACAAGAACAAGAGCCCTGCTGGGGAAACCTGACAGTCCTTTACAGGATGGAGGGGCTCGGGAGATTGTGCATCAGTAACCCAAGAAGTCAATTCTGGAACTAGCCACACGTTGCCTACTGGGGTTAAAGCCTAAAAGAGGTTTCCAGCAGCTCGCTCAGTCCATGCTGAGCAGTCCCAGCTGAGCCTGGTGCGGGGCTGGCTGGGTGACCAGAGGGTGAGCAGGACGAGCTGACGACAAATCAAGTTTACCTGACTGCAAGAATGGTGACATCTTCAGTTGAGAACACTGAGGATTTGTTCCTTTTTTTAACTTATTTATTTATTTTTGTTACAGATGTTTCTCCTTTTTCCCCCCATTGATACCTTCCTCCCCATCCCACCCCCCTTCCCAGCATTGTTGTCTATGTCCTTGTTTACACATATATGCGTGTAAGTTCTGTGGTTTATCTCTTCCCTCCCCCCATGTTCACCTCTCCTGAGGTTTGTCTGTCTGTTCCCTACATCCATGTCTCTGGGTCTATTTTGTTCCTCAGCTTGTTTTGTTCATTATATGACACAAATAAGTGAGATCATGTGAAACTTTTCTTTCTCTGTTTGGCTTATTTTGCTTAGCATAGTGCTCTCCAAGTCCCTCCATGTTGTCTCAAAGGATGAGAGATCTTTCTTTCTTACAGCTGCATAGTACTCCATTGTGTACATGTACCACTGCTTTTCTATCCATTCGTCTACTGATGGACATTTGGGCTGTTTCCAGATCTTAGCAATTGTAAATAATGCTGCTATAAACATAGGGGGACATATATTCTTTCTGATTGGTGTTTCAGGCTTCTTAGGCTATATTCCAAGAAGTGGGATCATTGGGTCAAATGAAAGCTAAATTTTTAAGTTTTTGAGGTAACACCATATTGTTTTCCATAGTGGCTGCACCAGTCTGCGTTCCCACCAGCAGTGTACTAGAGTCCCCTTTTCTCCACACCTTTGCCAACACTTGTTTTTATGATTTGTTGATGGCGGCCATTCTGACAGGTGTGAGGTGATACCTCATTGTTGTTTTAATTTGCATCTCTCTGATGTTTAGTGATGTTGAACATTTCTTCATATGTCTCTTGGCCATTTGTATGTCCTGTTTGAAGAGGTGTTTATTTAGGTCCTCTGCTCATTTTTTTAATTGGGTTCTTTGTCTTCCTTTTGTTGTGTTGTATGAGCACTCTATATGTGAGGATTTATTTCTAAGTAAATATGACAAGCTTGGTTTTGAGTATTTTGTTGCCTTCTTCTCACTTGTATGTCTCAAATTTGGATTTCATTATTAACATGCTGATTTCACATGTTCGTAAGTATGTTCAGATTGGGGAAACTGACCACAAATTGGACAACTAAGATACTTTGCACCTATTTATAAGACATTTTCTCAACTGTTTAGACTCACAAAGACCAATTTTACATTCTATCAAATAGGTGAGCATCTTCAGTAGGTTGTGATCTTTCCCAAATGAAAACTGTTAGAAAGTAAATATTTTCCTTTCCACTTCCAAGGTAATGAAAGGAGAAGAGAAGTTGCCATGTTAACAGATAGTGGCAGGCATTCTGTGGAATAATATACAGAATAGCCTGGTACTGTGTCACCTCACCTTTCGAAAGGATGTCATAATGAGATGAGTATTCTATGAAACGTGTTATATATCCTCCCTCCTAAAAGACTCCTACATTGTTTAATCAAATAAAAAATAAGCAACATTTGAGTATTGGAATCTTTATTTCCACTTCAACAGAAAGAAAACAAAAAAAAACATGAACAATTTACTCATCAGAAAGAGGTGTTTTATAACCGCAAAAGAAATGTTTATCCACCAAGAGCTGTAAATCACTTTAATTGGAGATTTCAGTGGGATTTTTAGCAGTAAATAATGTAATCCCTAAACCCTTCAGTTATTGAATATTCAAGGCATATAAAAGTATTGCTTTTCTACACAGCATAACTGAAATGTAGATTAACCAGTGGTTCACAAGGTATTCAAACACCAGCTGCAGACCATTCGGGGAGCCATGGCGTGTATTTTCCACACGCTCAAAACGTTTGGGGCATTGATGTTTTGTTTTTATTTTCAAAATATTTACTGCTGTAAAACGACCATATTCATGAGCATGAAGCGTTCATTTATGGAATAAACAAATGAGCACATTTTCTTGTATTCTTTAAGTATATATAACATGTACAATTTAAGTATGTTTCCTTTAATTTAATCACAGGACATCAGGTTTATCTGACACGACTGCTTGCACTTACAATTTAGTTATCATGAATTAGGAGTCCCCAACCCTGGGGCAGACCAAGTGATGCCCACTTACAGCCTAGAAATACAAGTTGAGGGAAGATTTTAGTACTTTGATTTTAGAGTTGACAGAGACGCAGAAGGATCATTTTCTGGATGTTTAGGGGAAAGGAGAAACTGCATCCTCTCGCCCTACTAAAGAAATTAAAAATCTGTACTGTATTTCTTTGAACGGTGGAGTCTAAGAGGAGGAAGTTGTCCTGCAGAAGAGATTCCTTCCAGGCTGTGGAGTTCGCTTTTCCCAGGTGGCCTGTTGCGTTCTTGGAGAGCTTTAGTCACTAGAAACGTCTTTGCGCCTTGAGCCCAGCCCGTCCCCCTGACTTGGCCAAGTTGGCCCCTCTGAGCCCGGCACACTCTCGGCGGCGGGGGCGGCGCCATCTCCGGCCACGGCCCCTCCTCGAGCCCCGGCCCAGTCCCGCGGCCTGCGGCCCCCGGCGCACGGCTCGGCGTGACGGTCCCGACAGCATCTCGGGGACATGGGGTCACTGGTGAGTACGCGCCCCCGGCGGCGGGCTTCCCGAGCCCGGGTCGTCCCTGAGCTCCCGCGCGCCGGAACGCGAGGCGCAGCCACCGGGACCCCCGCCCGCGCAGCCGGGATCCGGGCCGCGCGCGGCGGCAGGAGCGAGGCGGCGATGGCGCGGGACGGCGGCTCACAGGCACTCGCACCCCGCGGCGCAGCACCCCGGCCGGCACACGCACACGCGCACGCCGCACGTACCCCAGCTGCGGGCTCTGGGTCGGGCTGCGGGGCGGGCGCGCGGGGCGCGGGGCGGTGGCGGTGGCGGAGCGGGGCGCGCGGGGTGCGGGGCGGGAACGCGGGGTGCGCGGGGGCCCGTGTGCTCGGCGCCCATTCTCGGGCGCGGCTGCGGCTCTGGCTCTGAGCGGCCTGTCCCGCAGGTCTGGACGCTGGCGGCCGGCGCGCTGCTGGCGCTGACGCTGTCGCCGGGCCGGGCGGGCGCCCCGAGGAGCAGCCGGCGGCCGGCGCGGGGCTGCGCTGACCGGCCCGAGGAGCTCCTGGAGCAGCTGTACGGGCGGCTGGCGGCGGGCGTGCTCGGCGCCTTCCAGCACACGCTGCAGCCGGGCCCGCGCGAGCAGGCGCGCAACGCCAGCTGCCCGGGGGGCCGGCCCGACCGCCGCTTCCGGCCGCCCACCCCGCTGCGCAGCGTGTCGCCCTGGGCCTACAGGTGAGCGGGGGCAGCGGGCGGGAGGGGAGCGGGCCGTGCGAGCGACGGGAGGGTCGGGGGTGGGGGACGGGCAGCCGGGGTGGGAGGTCGAGTAGGTAGGGTGGGGGAGCGAGGCAGGGCAGATGGGGTCTGGGGACGGGCAGGTGGGATGGGGGCAAGGGCAAGGGAGACAGGGCGCATACAGCGGGGGAGAGGGAACTGGGCTGCTGGCCCAGGACTGGTTGGGAGCAGTTCAGCCCCGCAGAGGCCGTCACCTCCCTGGAAGGAAATTTGCCGCCCTGCAGCCGCGCGCTGCGTGGTGTCTGGGTGGGACGCACAGAGGACGATGGTTCCATACATTACCGTGGAGCAGTGATGCCACTCACCTACTGCCAGTGACGTCATTGCTCTCCTAATGTCACAAAGTAGCCTCAAAGACACTTGAAAAAGCTCAGTGTGGCTCAGTGGTTGAGCGTGGGCCCATGCACCCACTGGTTCGAGTTTTGGTCAGGGCACATGCCCAGGTTGTGGGCCAGATCCCTGGTGGGGGGCGTGCACGGGCAGCCAATCATGTTCTCTCTCATTGATGTTTCTCTCTCTCCCTCTCCCTTCCAGTCTCTAAAAATCAATAAAGAAAACAAAAAAGAGACACTTGGAAAATTTCTCAGGGCAATAGCTTGGCTTCTCAGGACTGAAGCCGCTTCCTTTACATTTTTCTGTGACCAGGGCTGACCTCTCCAGTCCTACAGGTGCTCACAAAGTAGGCTGGGGGCCTGGAGGCCACAGGGGAAGGGTGACACAGCAATAGCAGTGGTTTGTGAAGACCTCCTGTTGGGCGAGTCTCCTAATGCAACTGGATCTCAGCTCTACATGAAAATAAACTCCAGTGTAAAAATTAAACCACAAAATACAAAAAACAAATGAAAATACCGTCAGGTTATAACTGACATGTTTCTGGCTTGGGTGCTTGATGGTATTTCAACAAATGGGGAAGCAGAACGAGCACCAGGGATTGGGGAAGGAAATTAATTTAGTACTGGACCCATGGAGTTTCCCTATGTCTGGGGGGTGCACAGGTTTAATGACCAGCAGGCAGAAGTTGTGGTCTCAGAGATCAGGGCTGGAGTGCAGAGCCGGACTTGTCAGCCCTAGAATTCTGCACAGTGAGTTAACCTGAGCTGCCCTTGCTGCTATATTCCCTACGAACAGACACCTGTGTCCCCCTCCCCCAAGACCCATCCCAGAGCCGCAAGGAGGAGGGGACAACTAAGGGAGGTTAGGGACAGAAACAGCACACAGTGTCAAGGAGTCTGGTCTGGGCTGCCCTGGCTGCCCGGGAGGCTTTGGGCTGTGCAAAGCCAGGAGCTGTGTCAGGTGGCCAACAGTATCATTGGTGTTGTTTTTTTCGCATTAAGAACACGTGAAATGCCCCCTTCCTGGTGAACAGATGGAAGCCCGAGCGAGGGCTTGCATTCTGAAGGGCCGCTTCTGAGCCAGGCCTGCAGGTGGCTGGGTGCAAAGGGCCCTGCCCTCTGCTCACTGCTTCCCACCTGTCTCTTGAGTGGGGTGCAGGGCAGGATGGACTCCTCAGTGATGAGCCTGTGGCAGTGTCCGTGGGAGAGTGTGCCCCCTGCATTGCCTGCAGCTTGGATTCTGAGGAGTATTTAAGGCTAATGACAAGAAGGCGCCCTTAAGAAAGATGGGGGGCCCTACGGGTTTGGCTCAGCAGTTAGAGCGTGGGCCACAGACCAAACACTCTTGGGTTTGATTCCTGTCGAGGGCACGTACTTCAGTTGCAGTTTGATCCCCAGCCCTGGTCGGGGTCGTGTGGGAGGCAACCAACCAATGTGTCTCTCTCACATTGATGTTTCTCTCTCCCTCCCACTCTATCTGAAAATCAATGGGAAAATATCTTTGGATAAGGATTAAAAAAAAGAAAGAAAGATGGGTGGGGAAGTGGACTCCAGTCAGATAGTCGAGTGGCCTGCTGAGAAAATGCAGGTGGCTCTCAGTCCTACCTGAAAATGAAGCCTAATGTAAAAAATAAAACCAAAAGAGCAGGTAAAAACACGTTCTGTTATATTTGTAATCTTGAAGGAGAGAAGGCCTACTTCGTAGATCCAAAGTCATAAAAGACAAGATTCATCCATTCAGTTACTTAGTTACCCGCCATTTCTGACTCAGGCTCTTGAAACACGGAGATGCTGGACCTCAGGTGCCGCAGGGCCGTGCATGTTAAAGCGGTACTGAGGAGCCTTGTTTTACACCCATCAGGCTCCATTGGCAAGGCTGGAGGAAAAGGGGTTCTTGGATTGCAGGGTGTGTGCCTCAGTGCAGTTTATGGAGGGCAGTGGGTATTAACTAATCCACATTTTAAATCCACCAGCAGTTCCCCTTGGAACGCTCCACCTGTCCACGCACGAAGGGTGTTCACTGCAGTAGCAGCAAGGGGTCCGTGCCATCTGAACACCCCCTGGTAGGCAGCCAGTTTGGTAATGCTCCACAAGCAGCTGGAGAGGAAGGGACAGTGCAGGTGCCGTGGTGGAGGCCAGCCGGCGGCAGCGTGGGACGAGGCCGGCGCCGTGTGCGCAGCCCTCCGCCGGCCGCTGGGAGAGGAGCTTACATAACGTAGACATATGTTAAGTGCTATTCTAAACCACACAGGCATACTGCACACTCTGGGCATCTTTGGAACTGGTCTTCACAGGGCCTCTCAGGAGTGGACAGGAGTGGAAGGAGACGCACAGGATACAAGACTCCTTCTGTTGTCTGCGTTCCCTGCCTTGTGCGTGCATTCCTTATTTTTAAAATGTGAATTTTCTTTTATTTTTATTTATTTATTTATTTTTTGATATTTTTTGTTCAGATAGAGTGGGAGGGAGAGAGAGAAACATCGACGAGAAAGGGACACATTGAGTGGCTGCCTCCCACACAACCAACCAGGGCCAGGGACAAACTGCAACCGAGGTACATGCCCTTAGCGGGAACCGAACCCGGGTCCCCCTGGACCACAGGCCAACACTCTAAGTGCTGAGCCAAACCGGCAGGGCTAAAATGTAAATTTTCTAATGGAGACGAGAAAGGGAAGCTCAGCAGCCATGAGGACAGAGCAGGTACTGAAGGGATGAAGCCTCAGCAGGTGACACTGGACACAGGAGTGAAGGCATGTCTGCTCTACCCCCGGAGTGTGGGCCCGCAGGCAGGCCTGCAGGTGACGCGATGGACTTCTCAGAGCCCCTGGGGCCCTGGGGCTGGGCTGACCATCGAGGAGGAGCTCAGCCTGGAGAGCACGAGGAATCGGGCCAGGACCAGACAGTAAATGGACCCTGTGGCTCTGTCCCAGGGTAGCCATGCTGCTGGCCAGTGTGTTATTGGAACATCAACATTCATCCTCCAGAATATAAAAATATTTTCTGATTTACTTTGTGGCATCCTGTTTGTTTCTCTTGAGCTCTAAAAACAAAAAAAGCCAAAAATAGAACCAATCTGATTGCTCAGCACTATTTTTAAGCCAAACTGACATAGTCGGAGATACATTTTAAGAGCAGTGAGGGTTAGGAGGTTTGCAGATGCTTGTCACTCTCTTGAAACCCCAAAGATAAACACCTCCCAGTGCTCTAAATAGTTCTCATTGTTTATATATTTCACTTATGGGTAGTAGTCTAAACATAGCTTTACTCTAGGAGATGACTAGTGTACAACCATTTATTTTTAGGCTTTTTTACTTTCTTACATAACCCTTTTCCTGCAGGGAATGCAAGAACTACACCAATTTGTTTTGCAGTAAACAGTTCCTTTGAGAGCAACAACATAACCCCAGCAAAAAACCGAAGGAAAGACAGGACCAGGAGTGAAGGGGAGGAGGGGGGCAGGGCAGGGCAAGTCCAGTAACTTAAAAGTAGAGGCAGGGGAGCTCTGGGTGGGGTCCCCACCCCCCTGGGAAGCGGGGCACCAGGGGTTTGGCAGGGCCCCTGGGCAGTCAGGACAGTGCAGGTAAACACCAGTAAAGCTGATGCCTTCCCATGGGGAATCCAACGTGGCACTGCTCTCTATTCTCAGAATTTTGGGCAGGTGACTGGGGCACTCACACTGGTAGGGCAAGGTCACCCCCTGGGCCAGCCCAGTGATGCCCACTCGCTGGGATGACCTGCGCTGCCCGTTGAGTCCATCGTTGGCTATTTAGTAGTGCTGCATTTGAGGAAGGTCTTCATCAGGACAGGTTGAAATAGAATATTTTTGCCTCGCCCTCTTCTGACCCAAACGTCCGGTATCCTCGGGGCACCCCTTACTTCTTCTCTTCACCAGGTGGGGCAGTGACACCCCTCCATCTGACAGTGACCGAGGGGGCTAGGGACCCAGAACACAGGCCCTGACGCCTTTCTCCCAGAGCACACCAGTCTTTCTGCATCATCATTTTTTTTTATCCTCACCCGAGGACATTTTTTTTTGTATTAATCTTCAGACAGAGTGGGAGGGAGAGAGGGAGGATGAGAGAGAGACATCAACTGGCTGCCACCCGCACAACCCAACCAGGGCCAGGGACAAACTACAACCAAGGTACGTGCCCTTAGCGGAAACCGAACCCGGGGCTCTCTGGTCCGCAGTCCGACGCTCTAACCGCTGAACCAAATGGGTCAGGGCTCATTTCTAAGTTGTAAAAGGACTATAATGTTAGAGAAGGTTGGAGAAGTTGAGAACACAGTGTTAAGAAGTTGTCCCCACTGCGGTGACCGCCCCTTCAATGTTCCCCTCTCTCTCAGATGCACACACACCCTGCAGGTGTCCATTCCTCTCCAGGCCTAAGAACAAAGGGGGCGCGGCTGTGTGGTGGCTGTGCTGCCGGCTGCAGCCTGCAGGGGGCAGCACCCCCGTGGCATCTGTCTCCCAGAAGTGCCATGGGAAGACTTGGAGGAGGTCGGCGAGTGTGGGGCTCCCTGCATTAACCAGGACAAAGAGAAGCCATGTCCCCGAAGCTCTCTGGAACGTCCTGAAGAGCCTAGGCTCCACTGTGACATCAACTC